GATAATTCTCGAAAACATTGTTATCCGTACGTACTACATGCGAAACCCAGTTTTTAAACATGCAACTTTCCACTATTGTGTATAATTAGAGAGGAAGAGCATCAAAAGTACACCCGAGCAAGTTTACGCTTGATTAGCCTCTAATCTGGTTAGCATTATGACTTATCTCATGACTCACTAACGTTTCATACCTAAATCACATATAGATGAAACGCAATTACATGTGTCAACATTGTGAGCTTAAAAACATAGATGAAGGTTTTTTCTATAGAAGTGGGTTGACCTAGTTTTCGCAACTTGGTCTTGTTGCCATCATACGACCATGCCGAGGGCCACATCATCTTGGTCTTCATATCTTCGAAGGTTTTCTTTGTTTCGAGATATGTAGGAAAACTCGTTTTCAAAGTATTCTTAAAAAAATTGATGTTGAAGTACCTTTCTTTTCGTTTTAATAGGCGAATAGAAGGGATTTGTAAGTTGGCCTCACTGGAAACTGTCGGGGAATTGCCTTGGAGCTGTGATTGTAGATTTTGCCAATAGGCCCTTGGCGCACAGTCCTACAGCCCGAATGAATTCCACATCTTCCGATGAGGCCAACATATGAGTCCATTCTACTCATCTCTTCAAGCGAAATTAAAGTTACTCCAACATAGTTTCGTTGTTTGTCTTTGCGCATGTTTATAATATATTTATTTCAATTTCTAAAATGTGTGCTTTAATATTATTACATTGTTTCTTTTTTTTCTATCAAGGACAAGGACAATCTCTATCTTTGCATGGAGTATATGCCTGGTGGTGATCTATATTACTGGTTGGAGGAGTTTGAGACATTTACTGATCCTCAAGCGCGCTTCTATTTGGCCGAGACTGTTCTTGCTCTTGAGGCACTACACAACCTTGGCTATATTCATCGCGACCTCAAGCCGGATAATATGTTATTAGATGCTCGTGGCCATCTAAAGCTAGCTGACTTCGGTTCTTGTGTTCGTGTCGGCCCTCAAGGTGTACATTTTTGTACTTCACCCATCGGCACACCCGATTACATTTCCCCTGAAATGCTGAATTGTCAATCAAAGGCTGGTGACATTGGGCCCGAGTGTGACTGGTGGGCTCTTGGTATCATCGCCTTTGAGATGCTTGTTGGGGAGCCGGCTTTCTACGGACAGTCGCTAGTTGAAACCTATAGTCGGATCCTCGGACACGAGAAGGCACTCAAATTCCCCACAGATACGGATAACATGACCTCCGCTGGAGAAGATTTCATTAGGACCCTCCTGAGGCCGGCCAATTTGCGCCTAGGCTCTAGGGAGCCTTCCACACCTGGTGGACCGACTGGGGCCACCGCCGTCAAGCAGCATGTTTATTTTGCTGACGTAGTTTGGTCCCAGTTACGCTCTATGGTAGGTGGCCCTTAATAGAAGAAGAAAACGTATACTAATTTTGACCTTCCCTTATTACAGCATCAGATATTGCCTAACATATTGTTTATTTTCCTTCTCCTAACATTTCTGTTTCTACTAACAGCCAGATTGAGGTTATTACAAGCCTTGTAGGAACTAGCAGACATTATTGGCCTTCTAAAATGGCGTGATCTCTACTTACTCACGTCTTGATGAAGGATGTATTCGAATTGAGTGGGGTTTATAGACTGTGTAAATCCTGATTTATAAGGCATGTAGAGGTATCTAATTCGTCGAACTTCAACTAGAGATAAATGTTTTCTTATATTTTTGCATTTGCTCTCTAACCTTAAAAATTATGGGAAGCAGTGGGGCTGAAATGTTATTTTGCGCTACCTATGGTCAAAAATTTCATCCACTAAGAGATGTTTAGATATAAAGCAGGTATTTTTCTATCTGGACTCCATATATTACTTACTTTCAGTTAGCTATAATTATCATAAATAGGATTGTTGATCAGATACTCTTTTCCGGTCGCTGACAGCTAACTATCCAAGATTAATTAAAAGAGAACTTAACTTTTGCCTCTAAGTTTCATTGTATTTGTGCTCTTAGAGACCATCCTAATTAAAGCTGGACTGATTTTTTGATCTTGCTTCGGCTTCTCTGGAAATCCATCTGAATTCAAACTTAACACGAGAGTTCAGAGACGGATACTTTAAAGTATTACATTTAAGATAGCATATAAGACAACACTTTGAAACTCCATCGCGTGAGTTGTAATTTAATTCCTTTTAATAAATTAAAGCTAAAAATTAATGTTTTAGAATTTTTATAAAAACAATTTACTTAATCTGTTCTGACCTTGAAGCTTTTCCTAAGTGCTTGCGTAGATATACAATTCGCAGTAATTGATATAATAAATTGCTAAAATGTCAAAGAATTTTCAATTAGATAGTATGAACTATATAGTAATATTATACAATGAAGGTAGACATAATTTTTGTCAGCAATCGTTAACATTGGTTTCCTAAATTTATCTGTTGAATCTGATCTTCATAAATCAAATTTATGAAGACCAAGATGGTGTGGCTCTATGTATAGTCGCAGTCTCCTTTCGTTCTATAGAAGTTGTTTGATCTTCTTTTCGCAACTTGGTCATATTGGTAAGAAGACCTGGAGGAACGCGCCTTGTCTATAGTCCATAGTATGCATGACAATTTCCAAAGTCGGACTGTGGGCGTGTTACATTCCCAGATGTTTCGCCGGCATCGTAGTCGGCATCGTCACTTGGCCTTGCTATTTATAGCACTACAGTACAAATCGTCAAAGAGACAGATGAAACCAATCCTTTGACAAACTGTATGCTAAACAGTTGTGGTATGTCTCCTGCACTTAGCTATTCACCAATCATATATCTTCTTACCACCTCTTCATTATCACTATTTATCTAAATGTGCCATTTTGAGCGGATTTAATGATAACTCTCCACACCTTACGCTGGCTTTCTCACCCACTTCACTCTTGTGCTGGGAATGTTGATCAGAGTCTGTCATATTCCGTAATCCTCTTTGCATAGGTCTTATCAGAATCTCCCACTTGTTCCGTAGAATCCGCCTCCTAACTTCCCTGCTAGGGTATTTCACTCGCCCCTGCTACCCCATCTATATCACACGAAGCGACTTTTCTCAGGCAGTCTCAAGCATTTGATGGCACCCATTCTCTCGCCTCGCTTAATACATCCATAAAAATCAGGATTCTTAGGCCTGATGTGAGACAAACTTGATGCTAAAGAGTCCGAGTAATTCTTACGGTCAAGTCTTTTCTTCATGGACCACGTCTATGATCAACCCGATTGCGACCACACAAAAGGCCACACCATCTTGGTCTTCATACCTTCGATTAAACCCGTCTAATGTTAATTGTTGAGCTTACTTCTATTTTGAGTGAAAGTGTTTGATGAAGAGATTCGTAGGTCGATTCCACCAGAAGACGACGGCGGATTCCTCTTGACTAGCTGTCAAATGGCTTTACTGGAACATTAGTGGTGACACTGTTTCCGAGATAATCTTCTTCGATTCCGGTGAAAGGTGCTAAGCTTTCATCCTTCATATGACGAACATCATCAGAGCAAGGTATCACCCTCACAAGCAAATTCAAGGTGACGAGTCAAGAAAATTCACCGGCAAATTCCTAAAAAGCGGTATATATACCATATATCTGGCCTCTGATCAGATGTAAATGGATTTGGTTAGTTACAGTCATATGCTAACCTCGAAGCCTGTGAGTGTGTCTGCCTCTCTATGCCTATGTGTCTGTTTGTGTTCGCCTATGCACGACACTCACAGTGATGGCTCAAACTAATTAGGGCAGCAAAAGTAACGCCAGTTCTCGATCATCAAGATTTTATGACTACTATCTCTCCCTTTCTACATACATGTTATAACCATCACTCCGACTGTGCAAGGTCGGACACTTATTTGATTTTGTTGATGAGCCTATTTTTTGTTTTTCGTCTTAATGCGTGAGAGAAAGAGTGAGCTATAAGTAGAGAGAAGTGACTATGATTAGAACCAATGCAAGAAAAAACTAGTTGCGCCGCTTCCATTTTGCAAGCGTCTCAACTCCCTCTCTATCCTTGAGTCTATTAATTGAACACAAGTAATTTTTATTTATCTTATTACCGGTATTCCTTGCATTCAATGTATTTCATATTCAGTTTATTTTGATGGCTTCTCTAATCTAACGTTTAGCCAAAAACATGTCATAATCAGCAAAATGAGAAGTTTTAGACCATTCAATCTCGTGTCCCGTTTCTGGCCTGTGCTCAGTTAGTTCCGATTTTTAAACCCAACAGCCTTTTGCAGGCGCTTTTGTGCTCTGTAATCTTATCGAATGGGACTAGTCTCTTCCATATAAAAGCGACCACCTGAACAGATTATTTTGTAACAACCCGATCTGGATAATGGGTCAACTTTCTCTCTAAAAGGAGGCATAATTGAAGATGTCGTAGTTTCCCTGAAAACCGTTTTTAATCCCAAATTCCTTACTTGTTCATCTATCCTTTTAGAGAGAATGCACGAAAATAAAGACAAAAAATGAGATAAGGTCTCCTTATCTCTCCTTAAGTATTTATTCAAAAAGCTGTTGAAGATATTAAGACCAAGATGTTGTGGCCTCTTTTAGGGTCGCAGTCTCCTTTCGATTTATAGAAGTGGGTTGACCTCGTTGTCGCAACTTGGTCTTGTTTTC